ACAATATTATTCCTCTTGGTCTAGTAAACCCAGTGAACTAATCTAATATAAACCATGGTACAATAAAAAATAATAATAATATTCAAATTCGGGTGTTTTCAAAATGTTTATCGAAAATAAACCTAAATAAGCGAAATAATAATAAACTAAATAGCGAAATAAACCTTTAGAGATATATAGAACATGATTTTGAAAAGAAATTTTGCCCTTTCATTCAGTTTTCGCGGTTTTCAATTATTTATTCAAAACAAATGCAACAAGTTGTTTGATTTTTATTTTTTTGATATTAATTCCGACATTACGAGCCAAACAGGTAGACCTCTATACTTCCAATTTTTTCAAAGTTAGCCTACCTTATCTTCATTGTACCATGGTATAAACGTACTAAAAAATGGGTATTTTTTGGTGCTACAAGCGGAATAACAAACCTTATATACCCTCCATTTTATAGTGGAGGGTATAAAATCGATTTCAGACTTTTCTATACCAAAAGACGATCAAAGAATAAATAAAATGAACGAATGACTTTTTCGGAAAAGAACAAAAGAGCGCAAGGCCAAAATCGAACTAAGTCAACCTAAAACTCCTTTGTTCCTCTGCGAAGAAGCCAGCCGATGACTTAAGCCAGTCAAAAAAGACTTAAGGTGGGAATATATAAAGCGCCTTTGTTCATCTACGATGAAGCCAGCCGATGACTCAAGCCAGCCAAATATGCGCTTTATGTATTCCACCCTTAGGTACTTTAAGTCGAAGTCGACTTACAGATCCCTATTATTAACTACAGATTCATTTGACCACAAATCGCTCCAGGATTGGTCGCTGTAATATGTCCTTTTTGTTCTGTTGTCGGGTTAGTTGTATTTTGGATTGTTTCTTCTAATCTTTGACGTATTTCTGATGCAGTTATTTTGCGGTTTGGGCTACTGAAGACAAAATTATGCGCTCCATCTTGAATAGTTAATAACTTTGCTGGAGGCCAAAGTTAGTTCATGTCAACTGCCCTTTATTTACATAGCGGGGTGTGATCGACCAATTATTTTCCCAATTTTACGCATAGACTTCTCCAAATACAATTTTAGTATTAATTTTCGTAAATCTTGGGATGAAGCGCTGCTTTTAACCATTTTGTTTAGCTCCGACGGTTTGAAGAGTGTCAATGGCACGAAAGCGCATGGAACTTAAATTTTCCTATTAACAAGGAAAACCAAAAATTTAAGGTATTTTGGAAAAAATCATCAGGATTTATTACTCTTTGTTTCTAAGTAGTAAAGTGTGTATGAATAATTTTTGTGTCCACTGTAGATGCTCCATTTTTGTTATAGCCGAACAGGTCTTCCTCTCATAAAAATAAAATTATAGAGCGACAAGTAACACTTTAATTTTGGACTTTTAAAAATGAAACAGCCATTGTCATCTAATTAACAATTCCTGTCGGAACATGTTTTTATTATATAAGAAAATAACAGAGATGATTCAATAAAAATATAAAAAAATTATCCCATCAGTTGTCGACTCAGTTTTCTTTCCCCCCAAAAAAAGGCGTGCAAAAATTTGACATTGAAATCATGTTGAATTTCTTGTTTTCGGTACGTATCACTTTCCAAAATCAACAACCATATGATTGTCTTAAGTAGGCATGAGCATTCGCCAACTTTGAGGATAATTTCTCATAGGTTCTTTAAATCATTAACATATCAAAGTTTAAAGATTAACATTTATTTATTATTTTTAATATTCCGTTTTATTAACCATTTTTTCGATTTTACTTTCCCCTGACCATCAACATCAAAAACATGGAACGGGAAAGCAAAGCTGCGCTTGCAATTTAATGCAAACGTAATTTAATTACCAAATACCACTTAAATGCAGTTGGAAGACCTATAACCCTGACATAGAATACAGCTTCTGTTGAGGTTAAGATCAGAGATCAGGTTTTCTCTTCTATTTATTTTTTATTTCTTTCTTATAATTGCATCAAAGCATTAATTTGATGAATAAACTTTACAAATATTTGTTTTTGTTGTTTACAAGCATTGCTGCTCCCCCCATGTACGTGAGTTCCGAAAGAGCTCATGGTTAGCTCATCTGACATCAGAGTAAAAAAGTAAAGTAAATAGAGAGAGAGAGAGAGAGAGAGAGAGAGGAAAAAACTTCAAAATGATGAACAGTACAGTTGAGTCCACTTAAATGAAATGATTTAAATCTAATTCGAGTTTATGGAAAAAAAGTCAAATGCCACAGTTTGTTTAGCGCTTTCCCTTCAAAAACTCTTTACATTTTATAAATTGTATCAATCAAATGTAACTTTTATAGTAAGAAGTTAGTTTTTCTGATGATGATACGGTGTAATTCTTAATGAATTGAAATTTTCGTGTTAAGAATATCCACACTAGGAGTATTTTAACAGCTGCTCTTCCAACTCGGTATCATCTAATGTATATTTCAGTTGTCGTATGACATCCAGTAAATATACATTAATTAACGTTTGTCTTTTAGTTATAGCTCGATTAGATACAACATATTGACCGGATTAACCCACATTATCAGGATTTATTGCCTAATCCGGATTTATTGAACGAAATATACCATACAAAAATATATCTTCTCTCAACCAGATTTATTTTAAATCCGGTTCTAAATCCGCATACTAATGGTATGTAACTGTGTTATTGTGTTATTTTTAAGCATCATATTCCCAAAACATTTCTCGTCTTCCTATTATGACAATGCCAATTAATATTTTTCCCGAAATAGAACTCTTAATAATTGTCATATTCTTCCAGACATTTTTATTCTCAGCTGAAGATCAATTTGTATTTTTTTAATAAACCATTATTTTTAAATAAACGTTTTTTCAGCTTTTTGGTTATACATCGAAGCATAAACTCTTTGCTTTCAAACTGAACGCAGCATTGAATAAATACAGCAATGGAAACTATTTTTTCTTGGGGGACGCACCTGGGAACCCAGATTTCTGACCGGAAAGTCTGGGTTCAAGACCCTGGCTGGACCCGGATCCACTTACCCGATATAGATAATATAGGTATCGTTTCAAAGCTTATGAAAATATTCATAAGTGGCTCGGAAGTTATAGTCAAATTATCGATTTTTTGGACCCGGATTTTTTTGTAAAAATCGAAAAAGGGCCCATTATGGGTGTCAACAAAATTGATGCCAAATTATAGCTGACTATCTTACCTTTCCGAAATGCTAAAATTTGTGGTAATACCTTTTTCGGGTTCAGATTTTTTCGACTTCCAAAAAAATTTAAAATTTGATTATAAAATTAACAAGCAAAAAAGCTGTAAGTTCAGCGGACCGATCTTTGAATACACTCCACCATTTGAAACGAATTTGGCAATTTTCGAAGCAATAAAAGCCGTAAAAAATTCTGTTAAAATCGTAAGGTCTACACGACGGCGTGGACCTGCATATACAACTATTGTCATAAGCCATTACAATATTCAAATTTAAAAAAAGAAATTTGGTGAATAATGTAGCTGTCATAGGGTATAGTATCGATTACGAACTTCAAATACCAAATTTGAAACAATTCCGGTAAATAATGTAGCTAAAATCATCAAAATACCGAATATCGGCAGGTACCGTTTAGGTTGTACCATGGTACAATGAAGACAAGGTAGGTCAACTTTGAAAAAATTGCAAGTATAGAGGTTGTAATGGCTTTTAATGTCAAAATTACTATCAAAACAATAAAAAACAAACAACTTGTTGCATTGATTTTGAATAAATAATTTAAAACCGCGAAAAATGAATGAAAGGTCAAAATTGCTTTTCAAAATCATGTTCTATATATTTCTTATGGTTTATTTCGCGGCAAAAACTGTAAATTTTGTCGATGCATACGTTGAAATAAACATTTTGAAAACACCCGAATTTGAATATTTGAATAAATGAAAAAATTTGTTATTATTGAAAAGAATACACACACATAAACAAACGAAGTTGACATATTAAGCCAGAAAAATAAAAAAATTAAAATCATATGGTAGTTCTGCCCTACCTTGAATTCATTGTGCCATGGGTTGTACTATCCATTACGAACTTCAAATACCAAATTTGAAACAATTCCGGTGAATAATGTCGATTAAATAACCAAAACCCCGAAAAAAGGATGTACCATTATATGGGACTATACCAAAACGTGGAATTATATGACCCATTTTCTATACCAAAAGTCCTGCAGACATAATACACATTTGAGTAAAATTGTATCAAACTACTGCATTTCGTTTGGAAGCTAGAGTGATTTCCACAGACGGACGGACATCGTTACATCGACATACAATTTTATGCTGCTCAAATATATATATTCTTTGTGGGATCTAAAATGTAAATTTCGAGGTGTTACGAACGGAATGACAAACTTAATATACCCTCCATACCATGGTGGATGGTATAAAAATCATGTGACCACTTGTTGGATACATTATTTCATAAGCTACATTGTCTATATCGGGATCTAGTCGGGGTCTTGAACACGTACTTTCTGGTCAAAAATCTTGGATCCTGGGTCCGTCCCCCAAAAAATAGTTTCCCGGGATCAGGATAAAAACCTACCACTAGAAAAAAAATTCGAAAAAATTGAAGAGTTTTTATTAAACTAGAATTAAGCCACATTTTTTGGACTTTTTACACAATACAAAAATGATTTTCCTTTGCGATTTCGAAAAAGAAATCAAAGCTAGTAGATTCTTGCAGTTTTTGGAACAGTGTAATTTTGTATAGAAACGTGCTGTTTTACAAACTACTAGACATAACTGATACACAGTTTTTTTCTTCTCATACACATCAAATTTATCCTGATTTCAATTACACAACTTTTTCAATTGCTAGTAGCCAGAATCACCTGTTTACCAAAAACGAAGACTTTAGCTTTATAAACGCAAAAAATGTATGTATGTCTCATTGTGTTTGGATAAACGTAACTGGGACATCATGAGACATCAAATATCCCAAAATATGGCTCCAATACTTACTCGGTCATTTTTTGATGTGTGTTTTATTTCACTAGAGAATATTTTTTACAGTTTTCACAAAACTTTTTGTAAGTCCAAAACTTGTTTTATCTAATCCAGAAATGAAGCAGATTTATTATTTTCACTTTATTTTTGTTTGATGCACACACTGGCACTTTTCTAACTCTTTGACGCGATATTAACACCAAGCAAACACCGCCTTTATACACGCAACGATCACGTCAATGGCGAAAAACGAACTGATCTTTCTTCATTAATGGCAGTTACATTTTAGTCTCCAATGTTTGTTGGTTAAGTGAAGAAAGCAGAGAGCTATTGTTCCAATCTGAGAGGCAATACTCATCACCTCTCATTTTATGAGTCAGGTTTGTTTTTTTGCTGTGGCCAACAAGAAAGTTATTTCATGCACGAGAGAGAGAAAATATAAAAAAAAAATCTTCAAATTACAATATTCTGCTGCAGATGTTTTTATATAAGCGCAATTAAGACCAGAAAAAAGCTAATGAAAATCGAAGGAAAAACTATACACCGGTAATTAAAAACATAAGAAGTAGTGAATCTAAAGTGTTGGATATAATATTTAAGAGCTTATTGTAATAATTAAATAAATAATCCCACTGTAAATATTTTCTATTGGAAAGGTGATAGGACAATATATAATATGCAAGATATAAAACAAGAGTTATAAGATACTTAGGTATCAGAAATGAAAGAACCATACTATACAGTCGATTTTAGTTTAATCGACTTTGAGTATTAAAAATCGATTTGGATTTTGGGTACACCTCTTGAACAACAATCATTAAAATTTATCAAACTGTTCCGCAATTATTAAATCAAAATTTCGGAAATAGCATCAAATTTTAGAATAAGTTTAGATTTGTTCGAATTGGTCACCTTTGGCACGAACTATAGCCTTCAAACGGCCAATGAAACCGTCACACGCCAACCGAAGATGCACATTTTCAGCTGACCTCTTTGGCAGGCAATAAACACGATCATTTTGTTTGCTTACAAACTGCTGGACAACGAATGTTTTCTCATCGGAGAAAACGAAATTCTGCAGTTCACCACTTTCGACCAAGCGAAGCAACTGTTTAGCTCTTTTGAGACTATTTTCTTTCAGTTGCGCTATAAGTTCTTGCACATTTTGGAATATCAATGGCCTTACCCCGAGCAAATAAAAGAAATGAAGAACACAAAAATTACAAAAATTAAAAGTGAATCGTGAAACAAAACAATTGTGCTTGCGTTTACATTACATTACAAGAAGAAATTTTTACAGAAAGAATTTACACTCTCAGTGAAAGAACTGTCAAAATTGTTTTCCGAAAACTCTCTCTCTCTCTCTCTTTTGCAGATCTTTTGTGTTAACAGACGACTTCCAGTAACAATTTGCAACAATTGTTTTAAGTTTTAGGGTAACCAGTCACACATATTTCTTCTTGCAAACACGTGCAACTCTTCTACTTCCCTTTCAGGTGATGTATATTTGGGCAAACAGTTTTAAAACATCTCTATTTTCATGGGTCAATAAGAAAGGTTGCTCAACTTCAAGGAAACTAGGAAAATGCAACTCTGTTCTGAAGTCTTATTATGTCAAATAGAGTTTTCATTGTTTACTTAAAATGTTTTTCACAAAACTATTACAGTGGGGAAAACCCATAAAACATGAATGAAATATAGGGGTTTCTCTACAAAATTAAATCCATGATAGTAGGCCAAGATTGTTTTATCCCAAAATTATGCATTTTGTTGCCCGCTAACGTGAAACGTATGCATTTCTGTTGTCTCTGAACTTGAAATAATTTCAAATTATTCCCAACATACCAAATTGACTTGAGAATAATATTTTAATAAGCTTACAAACATAAGCCTTAAGCTTGAGAAAATCTTGAGAATGTATTTAGAAATGTTTGTTTAACAATTATAGAATAATCGAAAAGGAACCCTTATTCATAAGCTTATTCTTGTAATTGCAGAATAAGCTTACGAAAGTAATATTATATCAAGCTTATTTTTTCAATGGTATAAAATATTTATTTTTCCATTTATTTTAATTATTTTACACATTTCATTCATTGATCGCCATCCAAGCTGTCACTGCCTCCTGTTGCATTGATACCTAGATGCTTTCTTTCCCCTTATTTGAGCTTCTGCATCTCCTCCACTAATTCTTCACTTCTCTTGAATTCTTGCAACTTTTTGATGCCTCTATTCTGAAATGAGATTGAAATAATATATACTACAGATTCCCAGATTTATTATTCATTATTACCTTAGAGTTTCGTCCGGAAATGAGTCCTAAATTCGCGTGATTTTTATTTTAACCAAAGAAAATATTTTTTGTCGACAATTTTCACAAAAAAAAAATCAAAACAAATTTGTCAACAAAGGACAGATTTGAGAAAAGTTTGTGCAAAAAAAGTGTTTCTCTAGCATTGTTGAAAAATTCATAATTTTCATAATTTTATTCTCAAGCTGTATTGTAGTTTTGGGTTCCCTTTTTATTCAAAACAATACACACACATATTAAACCTCCCAACATACCAAATTGACTTGAGAATAATATTTTAATAAGCTTACAAACATAAGCCTAAAGCTTGAGAAAATCTTGAGAATGTATTGAGAAATGTTTGTTTAACAATTATAGAATAATCGAAAAGGAACCCTTATTCATAAGCTTATTCTTGTAATTGCAGAATAAGCTTACGAAAGTAATATTTTATAAACAAGCCACATCACAAGCCCAATTGTTCCGTTTTAGGTTTTTTTTAGTTTTTGAATGCTTCATATCTCTTTATTCCGGTTTTGACAAATTAGCTTATTACTTTCAAATTTCTACAGGAAATTCGTCTGTTTACTTTTCAGAATTTTCTTACAAAAGAGATTAAAAATACATTACACTTTCAGAAAGAAGCTCCTGGACAATTTCTGAAAGAAAAGGTTGATCCGTTGGAAACCCGCCTAATACTTTCTAACTTGAAGAAACACAATCCGAAATATCGAATGACTAAAAATATTTTTGTGGTTATAGCGTTGGAAGTATTGCGGATATTTTTCTTTGGTTGTAAGCTTTTGAACTCTAATTATGCGTTTTTGCGATGGTACGCTTTCATAATCGACCAAATTATAAGGTATCTTTTCATCTACATATACACACAACATATGTAATCATAATTTGCTCTCGAATCCAACAAAAACTGACGAGAGATAGAGAAATATTATGAATACAATATAAACAATGACTTGGCTCTTCAATCTGCATTTATATTTGATTCATTCAAGATTTGGAGACGAAATGAGCATATCTCTGATGTAGCATGGAGTCATTGGGGAGAAGTCATTACAGATTGCTCTTTGAATTTGTTTACTAACACAACCAGCCAGCTAGACAGTCGTAAAAGTCACAAGTTTTATCTAACGAGGGGAATTTTTTATGTTGTTACCTTCCAAGCCGAAGAAAGTCTTTTGAACTTTGGACATGCAACAACGAAAAAATAATAAACAAGTGAATGAAGACTCATGTCCATAGATTCGTGCATGCCATTGTGGTGGTGATGTTGACCATTCAGGTGTTTATTTTATGTAGGTCGTTTCTTCTAAACCGGAATGTTAAGAAAACATCATCAGCACGCAGCCATGCAACATTAACATCATTGGTTTCGTTTATTGTCAACTGGTCGCTGGACCATGGAGAGAAGTACCTGTATTTTTTTAGTACCTATTTATAGTTAATAGAATTGCGTTAGGGGTCATGAAATGTTCAAGGCGAGTTGTGAACGATTTATTTCGCTTTGTTCGATTAAAGTGAATACAACCTGTTTTCAAATATAAAAAACAAAATAACGACACCTTTGTGGTATATTCGAAAATTAGCAATTAGAATGGACTTTGTCTCAAATTTAGAAAAAAAATCTATATTTATTTACACTTGTTGAAAAAAGACTGTGTGTAACCGTTTATTATATATTTTCTAGAACTTTTTATTGCTATATATAGAAAAAAGCGAGATGTCAAAATAAGAGAAGAAACGAATTTGAAGACAATTAAAAATAACCAGTCAATTGATGGCGCCCAATACCTTCCAAGTGTTACCTTAGTTGCGATTCGAAAAAAAGGCAATTTCCAATATTAGAAAACATGAAACATACAACTGTATTACCTTATTTGGAGCCGCTGTTCATTTGCTGCGAAAAAAATTCCGCACCATTACTGTTGGTCTTTTGTATTATAACAGATTTTTTTTCTATTATTGCCCAAAAAAAAATGTTCTCATTGAACTGCAATGAAATTTTATATAAAAAATTTATACCTATTGCCATGGTAGAATAATACAGGTAACAGCAAATGTTGTTGTACACAATCGTAACAACAACCACATACAAATTTGTTTTTGTAAGTAATACAAGTGTCAGAATGTCCAAAAATGTAAAAAAAATAATTAATTTTCAATAAATTATTTTAATTTAAAAAATATACATTGAATTGAAAATGAAAATATACTTCTTAAAATATGTAATATTAATGCATTCACATCATTCCCCTGAATGTATAGTTGTTAGCTTTTGGTTCTAATCCCTCAACACTTCAAGCAATCGCTAGAAAATCGCGGAAAAGGAAACATCCCTTTCAAGTTGAAACTAAACAGCATACATACATAAAGTATTCTTCATTTTACAATTTTAGGAAACATGAAATATACCAATATATTATCTAACGTGGTGTCGCTGTTCCTTAACCGCGAAAAAAGTTTCCGAACCATCGCTTTTGGCGTTTTGCTATGTACAACGGCGATTTTTTCTATTAGGCAAAAATATGTTCACATTGCCCTTCAGTAAAATGTTATATCAAAAAAGGGTATACCTATTGTATATCAAAAAATGGAATTAAATCAAAAACGTCATATTGAGTTTGGTATAGTATTACCATAGAGTCAAATCAGCTGTATTTGCTGTTACCTGTAATAATGTTATCGTGGTATTCTGGGACTTGGTTCTTAAAGGCAGACCTAAAATAAAACATTAGTGGAAGACTGTAGAGGAACTAACAGCACCGGGAAAGATTCCTCAAGATAAAAACCTTTAATTTTAAATAGAATAAAGAAAATAAAATTAGTCTTCCTTAAGACTCTATCAGACGAAATATTACATATGTTATGTCAAATTTTCCACGTGTAGAAGTTGCAGATATCGTGTGATGCATAGACGACATTTCAGTTTTTCGTCACAGCGAAACCCATTTCCATCGGAAAATTTGAAAATAAATAGAATTAAATTTGTATCCATAAAATATTATAATTTTTTATAAAAATCAATCGACACTCTTTGAATTTGACACTCCGACCTTATATTGGCCATGACCGTTGGAACAACTCTAGATTAGTAAAAAATCACGGATTCTTTTGAATTTTTTCCAGGGGTATTTATTTTTACCCCGATTCCGGAAAATATTTTTTTCTTGGGGAACCGGACCGATACCCGGATATTTGACCCAACAACAAGTGGGTCACATGATGGGGTTATTTAAAACAGTTCGAGATGCATCAAGGTTATTGATATTTTGGGCCCGAATTTTCAGAAAAAATACCCAAAAGTCAAAAAGGGCTATTTGGGGAGTTCTCAAAATGTACGCTAGTTGACACTATAACCTTTCAAAATGCTACAATATGTGTTTTTATCTTTCTTGGATCCAGTGATTTGGGTCTTTGAACCCGGACAAGTCGATTATGTTCAGTACATCGAAACGATGTTTTCAGTATAAAAAACTTTAATTCGCGTAGCTGGTGTTGGACATACCAAAAGTAAAAAACCTCAAGACCCAGCCATATCGGTTTAGCAGATTCGGATTTATTTTGAACTTTTGATTTAAACATTGTGGTATCCGGATTCGCCCCCAAGAAGAATTAGGGTAAAAATACCTATCCTTAAAAGGAATTTAAAAAATCCGAGAGTTTTTACTAAACTAAAGTTAACCCTTAATAGCCTGGTGGTCCCTTCAGGAACCTCAACTTTAGAGACTTGTTTTTCAAAACTGTTACATTTTTTGCGCAATGTTTATTCAGCAAATATTCTCTTTATAATGTATGGCATATAGCGAAAAAGAAAATCATATGCTTTTCGGTGCTGAACACCTGATTTTTGACGTTTATCAGAAAAACACACAAAAGCTTCAAAGTGAACAACTCGTGCTTTTTCAAATTGATTGAAATCAAAACTTTTGCTCCAAAAGAACCAAATAAAATTAATTTTTATTATTTGTGCACTATATTAAAACCATGTAATTATCTTTTTAGCAATATAATTTTTTTTTGTTGGTGTTTTTCGTGTAAAAGTCCTTCGGTCCTTCAAAGAACCAGTAGGCACTCATTAGAGAAGTGAAATTCGTTAGTGCTTTAGCGCCTTTTTCTAATTTTAGTGTAAATGTTTTTACCACGGCTGAAGAGTTTGAAGCATTCGTCAATAATTTTGAATGGTCAATAAGTGAAATTGGCGATATATCAGATTTGACGACGAAAGTCTAGACGATCCCGATTTCCATATAGTGACAAATGCTGATGCGAATACCATGTTTTGGACAATGAACCAGACTTGGGAGCAGCAGCAAATATTGTGGTGCGGCTTGCTCGTAAAGTTCCGCTTTTCAAGAACTACAGAATTTTCTTCGATAACTATTACACAACTATTCCTTTATTGGCTTATTTACGCACCCAGGGAATCTATGGGCTTGGAACAGTTCAACGTAACCGAATTCCTCGCTGCAAATTGCCAGAAAAATTACCCAATCGATAATTACCCTGCGATAATCCACGAGTACAACAAGTACATGGGAGGTGTTGATCTTATGGATTCGTGCTTTGGTAGAAGCCGCATAAGAATAAAATCGTCTTATGTACCATATGATGGATATGGTCATGATAAATGCGTGGATTTTATATAAACGCCAATTCTCTTCATCTCCTCGTACAGATAAAATGCTGACTTTCCACGAATTTATTGTAGACGTCAGCAAAGTTTTAGTAAAATCTGGCACACAATCCATAAGGAAAGGACGTCCAAGAAGCACTGGAGGATGTGAGACCCCTGAAAATGTGCCAAAACGAGTTCGGGTAGTAATGCCGCCTAGTGACGTGCGGTTTAATAATCTTGGGCACTTCCCGAAATACCTAACAACAGGCAAACCTCATTGTAAAATGCCCAATTGCACATCTAGAACAACAGTGTATTGCATTAAATGTGAGGTAGAATTATGTTACCAATCAACAAAAAACTGCTTTCTAGAATATCATACAAAACATTGAATAAATGAACTGAAATACATATATAATTTAAATGAAAATAAAAAAAATTCATATATAAACCATATGCATTCTACTTGTCAAAGGAGAGCCTGGTGGTTCTTCAAAGAACCAACACACAAAACCTCCCCTAAAATGTCCAAAACTCAAAATTGTGAAAAGTCGTAGAACAAACGTTGTTAAGGGTCCTAAAATACAACATATAAAATTTTTTCATTGAAAAGAAAAAAGTCAGGCTATAAAGGGTTAAGACGAATATTCATAAATATCATAAAACACACACACACATATAAATAATTAAATTTGATATTTAAAGCCAAAACAATAAAAATCACAAAAAAATAAATAAAAAATCAAACAAAACGATAGTTGCATTCCATTAAATTCCTTATAATGTGAACATGCTATTAGAAAGCTCATTCTTTATTGTGAATAATTTGGTAAATCCATGAAGTACCCTGTAACTGCAAATCAGCTGTTCATTGTTTATAGAACCTACAAATCCCTTAACCCACTTTGTTTTCCCCATCTTCGTAAGTTGGCCTTTTTGTTTTGATTCTTCATCTTTATCTCCATCTGTCTCATCTCCAATTTTTCTTTGAGAGATGCCATATCGGCGTATTTCCCTCTATATTGTCCAACACGCAGTTCCAATCTCCACGCAGTTCCAATTTCCACAGAATTACAGAATGATGGAGACCCAAATAGAAGCTGCAACAAAGAGTGAAATTTTGCCTGGCTTGACCTTTCAAACAACACCAAAAACAGAAGAGCAGAATGACCAACCTGTGCCTTGTGTCAAATGTGAAAAGATCTTCAAATTTCCCACATCCCAGGATGACTATTTGGCGCATTTGTTTCTTGCTCATCGCCTGGTCATAGCTGATGTATCTGATATTGCCTTGCTCGAGGATTATTTAAAGTTTTGGCGTAAGGAATTTGAAGATCATCCACTGGAAGAATATTGTACAACCATGCTGCTGGATCAGCTGCCAGATGGAACACCAGCAAAGAATGAAAAATATTATCTGTTAAGTGATGTATTGCCCAAAGATTTTGAGCTGAGGGCGAACCTAAAGAAGCAAAGACTTGAGAAGGCATTGGCCCAACATCAATTTGAATTGACGGACCGAACTTTCAGTCGGGAATGTCTGTACTGCCGGGATGTAATTACAGGTCTGCGATCATCGTTTTTAGAACATCTCTTTACAAAGCACTTTCTACAATTGGGTAAACCTGAAAATCTTATATACATTGATGAACTTTTGGCCAAGGTCCAACACAATTTGGAGAATCTCATATGTCTTTACTGTGAGAAGGTATTCAAGGATCGGGTAACCCTCAAGGAGCACATGCGTAAAAAGGCCCACAAGAGAATTAACCCCGGCAATAAATCCTATGACAAATACTTTTTGGAAAATTACAAAATACCCGATACTACGACGAGTCATCAGCCAAAGAGAGCACAGAAGAAACATAGAGGCAGAGAACACCACCAACAACAAAGAACTTCCATCAATGAAAATTCTCGAGCATCTTCCCAGCAGGAGATCGAAAGTGTTGATTTTGAGCGTTTTGCCCATCACGGCGAAGACTCGGATTCCGATTGGTCAGATTGGAATGGAGATGGCGGTGTCCAACCCATAACATGTCTTTATTGTCCTCAACAGCTTGGCGATTTTTCAATATTTAAAAGCCACCTAAACGAGGCACATGGTGTTGATTTTGATCAATTGTTAAGGGGTCTAAATTTTTATCAGAAAATTAAAATTGTTAACTATGTGCGACGTCAAATTTGTCTATTGCGATGTGTTACCTGTGATCAACGTTTCGACAGCAACGATGCCCTGTTGCAGCATTTCGAAGAAGAGCAACATTTTGGCGTGGGGACACGTAAACAATGGGACAAACCTGAATACTTTTTCCCCACCTATGAAGATGATGGACTGCTGTGTACGCTGGATGATAATCCCAACGATGATATGGATGAAACAGTGGTGCGTATAATATCCGAGGATCCTGTAGCGCAAATCAATAAGGATGCCGAGAAATTATCCTTGGAAAATTTTAATTTTTTGTAAAATAAATAAATTTATGATAGAGCAATATTTTCTATAGATTTAATAAAGTAAAAGGAAAATAAGGAAAGCATTTAATCACCCATATCATTTCCCTCCCAAAATCCTGTTGCTGAGCAGTAATACCTAACTCCAAACAGAAGAAAACTGAAAGCGACGGCTTATATCAATCAGTTCAAGCCATTTCATAGCTCGATATTGGATTATTTTTATCGCCTTAAATTCCAAAATCACTAAAACTTTAAAATTAGTTTTGGTCGACCAACCAAACAGATTCCAGTAAGATCAACATTATATCAGTAAGTTCAGACGAAATCATTAAATTTTACCAGATTTCAATCTAACCAATTATAGCTAATTCCATGAAATCCACATGCTCTCTGAAGCGATACCAAAAGTCTCTGGCAACTACCAAGAGTGAGTGACAACTTCTCATCAGGGATGTACTCCTACTGATGATATTTCGAGCAGCCTGTCTGAATGCCAAAAAACTGAAGTCATAAGACAAGTCCAATACTTAACTTACACCCTATTTTAAATTTCCAGGAGGGCACATATATTGTTTGATTCTCTTAATTAAACCTTACACGGAGGATATTAAGTATTTCCAACAAAAACGTCCATACGAAATATTGACGCATTAATAATAACCAGCATTCTTTTAATTATTTTTTTCTAAATGAACTTCCACTAGTTCGGTAGTGTCAGTTTCTGCTACATTTTATTAGGTTTATACAAAATAGTCACACTCACTTTATTCCTATGCAGGTATGTACCTTTCATAAACTCTCTCATAATGGCAATCAAACTTAAAACTAAAATGGCAAAGAAATGCCTCACAACTAAATTAAATAGCAGTACCACGTTCCAAATTCTGTTTAATTTCAGCCGTATGTTCGCCATAAAATCTCTCCAATTTCTTGTTAAATTTGGAATTACGTTCATTGATGAAATCTACATCAGCATCGTCATTATAAATTCGTCTACGTGAGTATTTCTTGCGGCGATCGATTTGCTGCTCTAAATCTTTAACCATATTATTGATGGCAGCAGGTGTATCCTTGACCAGACCATGTATTATCGTGTTGGGCCCACCATAGAAAGCCTCGCCCAATTCTTCTTTTTGTTTCTCATATTTCGACATATCACGAGCTGGCATATTTTTCACTAAACGATTATACTGTCTTGCTGTCTGTGCTTCGAATGTGGAAAAGCCCAAATCTGGATTTTGTTTCTTTTTCTTCTTTTCGATTTTCTCAGCATCGATGGCGGATACATCGAGCAGTTTTAAACGATCATAATCAAGTCCTTTGGCTTTGGCCTCTTCACGGGCCTTCTCATCCGCCACTATCCAATCTGCTTGTCTTTTGCGTGCTTCCCAGTTGTTTGGCAGCTTCTTGCGTGCGTCTTCGGCCACCACTTCTTGATGGTTATGCGTTCGAGCCTCCTGTCGTAGTTTGTGCAGGTTACGCAAACGCTCTTTACGTTCCGCTAACTTCTGGGCTGCAGTCTTCTCCGTTTCCATAGTATTTTTAATTATTTATTAACTAAATTATCTTAAAACTTATTTTTTATTTAGATGCGTAAAATGCTTGATTTTTCTCTTTGTCTTCTTCAGCATTAATCTTTTCCAAATACCTGCTACCAAAATGAAAGACGTCCCCAACGAAACGAATGTGAAGGCCAAAAAGGAATACCCGATAAAAAAAAATAAACAAAGCAACACGGGGTACTCGGTTGTTTACGAATGAGACATGAGGACAATCAGATTGAACACATTCTCTAAATGAGCCGCGGGACTAGTACTCGCTTCTTCTTCTTTGATAAGATTGATAAATGTACTACGAAATGATGACACATTATACCCAAGGTGTAAGCATCATCGAACAACTGGCAATAACCCATTTATAAACGCTTAGATTTACGAAATCCACTCGATCTCAAGTGGCAATTCCATAGCGTACACGTTAAATAATTAATACGATTTAGGTGACGTATAGGCTATGGAATTGACATTTGAAAACAATTGGATTTAATCATGGCCTACATAAAGTCGGCCACTTGGTACAATAAGGAGGTAGAAGAGATTCGTAAAACTACTGAAATGCAGCCCTGAGGCCATGACAGCTTCCTGTCAAAGTTATATACAACAAGTTATTTAATTTTTTTCCTATTTTTCCTTATTTTAAAATGAGCTAATTAGCGCGAAAAATGAATGAAATACTTGGATTTTCTCTCAAGAATACGATCCAAAATATTCAATCTTTCAATTTCATGGCTAAGCACATGGTACAATAAAAAGGTAAGGTAGAGCTATCAGCTGATTACAATTTTTTTCTAAGTGTGCCCGAATTCTGCCAATAAAAACAAATTATTTTCAAAATCAATGATTGGAAGACGCGCAATAAAGCTATTCGGCAGTTTTATCATGAAATTGAAAGATATAACTGTTTAGATCACATTTTTGAAAAAAAATCTAGGTATTTCAATCATTTTTCCCGTTGTTCAACAGATTTTAAAAATGGGGATACATATTGACTATATGAAAACAAATTGTGGCATGCAAATTTGACAGGAAGCGGACATAGCCTCAGGGCTGTATTTTCGTAGTTTTACGAAGCTGTTCTACCTCCCTATTGTACCATGGCTAAACAGGTTAATATCTTTAATGCGCGAGCCGCAATGTACGTATCATTGGTTTTGAAATTATTTAGTTTTCATTTTTCAAAACAATTGGCTGGTTAATTAAATTTGTCATCAAATTTGTTTCTTTTAATATTTTGACAGCTCGCTGTCATATTTTTTCCTAAATATATCATATTTTATCTTAATTAAAACAGAATGAAGTTCTAAAAAACTCTAATAAACGGTTAAACACAGACTTTTTCATCAATTGTAAACAAATATAGATTTTTTCTAATCTTGAGGCACAAATCGCCTCGAACATCTCATGACCCCTAACGCATTCCATGATGGTCCAGCGACCAATTGATATATTGGTTTACGCATAGTTTTCGTATCATTGTATCATTTGCAATAGGTCATACATCTGTTGACAGAATTGTGCGTTGAGCCATAATTGACATTTGCACAAGAAATCCGTTGTAATTCAAGGAAGAACAAGGGTTTGCACAGGGTGTTTCATAGACACATATATCATTCACAATAGTACGTACAGCTGTTGTGAGAATTGTGCGATGTCCTCATGTCTCATTCGTAAGCAAACAGATTTTCGGCGTTATGCATCACACTCATTCGTAAACAACAACTCTTTGAGCGCGAAACTCTGTTTTCGATCTGGAAAGACCTATTACTCTTCGAGAGAATCTCCTTGGCTCCTTCCTTTGCATGCAGGAGGATTCGTGGGAAAATCTATTTCTTCGTAATTATCTCCAATAAAAGTACCCTTAGCACCTTGACATCCAGGAGGATTCGAGGAAGATCTTCTTCATACATTTCTCGAATAAAAGTCTCGGGGGATCCACCGAGTCTTCGAACACAGAAGAAGGAGCCAATTCAGCGAGTGCGCAACCTTAGCTACGGAGTCAGACTGACATACCTCAACGTGACATACATCAACGTTTTTTGTCCAGGGAGGAGGCATCGTAAGGAAATTAAATATATCCCTATTGGAAATATTCCTCCGCCTGTAGAAATGCAACAATTTTCGCGCAAAGAAAACTTCTTAATTGCCAACACTTTGAATTGTGTGCCATTCCTGCTGCAAGGCCATTCCGTGCTAATAGATCTCCGTAATGAGTGTTCCGTGGCGGGTGTCATTGATAATGCCGATGGTCACATGAATATCCATTTATCCAATGCTGTCTTTATTAATCGAATGGGCCAACAGGTGGCATTTGATCAATTTATGTTACATGAACGCATGATTAGACAAATTCATTTACCGCCCGACGTGGATGTGGCGGATGATATAAGAAATTGGTGTGACAAAGGCTGTCTCAAGAAGCCGTTGCGTTCAAATCTTGGGCCGAAGGGTAAAAGGACATTCAAGCAGAAGCGGGCCCAAGAGAGACACAAGGAAATCCTACAGGAATTGGAAAAGAAACGGGCAGAGTGAAGCGAAAGGGATTGGGATTGTAAAGTAAGTCGAAATACGGCTTAACTGTAATTTAAGATTATTTTAGAGGTGGGTATTTGTAGCCTCATTCCGGAGGCATGATGAGTGATTTGAAACGCTTAGGAAGGTTTCAGGGAATAAATCTAGTAGTCCGGAATCTGGCAGTTCCCGAAATATATGCCAAATTATAGTTGGCACTATAAACTATCCAATATGCTACAATATGTGCTTTTTGCCAGAGTTCTTTAAAATTATGTTTTCAGTATGAAGAATCTTACTTCCCATAGCCGGTGTTGGACGTACCCAAAGGAGAAAATCTTTAAATGTTAATAAAACTTCCAATATTTATATGGCTTGGGAGCCGCTTATTATTTTTATTTTTAATAATTCACAATTTTTAATATTTTTGTTTAATGATAATAATTACTACCATAGTGTTAAAATTTCTATTGTATCAGCAATACGTGTATAATTAACTAAGAAGTTTTCTAGCCAACATACCAAAATGGCTTGAGAATAATATTACAAAGATCTTATGAACATAACCCAACATACCAAAAATACAATACAGCTTGAGAATAATATTATGAAAATAGTTTATCATAAGAATTTTTCAACAATGCTTGAGAAACACTTTTTTGCACAAACTTTTCTCAAATCTGTCCTTTGTTGACAAATTTGTTTTGATTTTTTTTGTGAAAATTTTCAAAAAAAAATTATTTTCTTTGGTTAAAATCAAAATCACGCGAATTTAGGACCCATTTCCGGACGAAACTCTAAGGTAATGATGAATAATAAATCTGGGAATCTGTAGTATAAATTATTTCAATCTCATTTCAGAATGGAGGCGTCAAAAAGTTGTAGGAATTCAACAGAAGTGAAGAATAAGTGGAGGAGATACAGAAGCTCAAATAAGGGGAAAGAAAGCATCTAGGTATCAAGGCAACAGGATGCAGTGACAGCTGGGATGGCAATCAATGAATGAAATGTGTAAAATAATTAAAAAATGAATAAACAAATATTTTTTACCATTGAAAAAATAAGCTTTATAAAATATTACTTTCGTAAGCTTATTCTGCAATTACAAGAATAAGCTTATGAATAAGGGTTCCTTTTCGATTATTCTATAATTGTTAAACAAACATTTCTCAATACATTCTCAAGATTTTCTCAAGCTTTAGGCTTATGTTTGTAAGCTTATTAAAATATTATTCTCAAGTCAATTTGGTATGTTGGGAAGCCTTAAGCTTGAGAAACTCTCGAGAAAACATTGATGTTTGTGTATCAAGTATAAAATAATCGAAATTGAACACTTATAAGCTAATACTTGCAATTGTAAAATAAGCTTACGAAAGTACTATTATTATAAGCTTATTTTTGTAATAGTATAAAATATGGATGGACATCCCAGCTGTTACTGCCTCCTGTGGCCTTGATACCTTGAAGCTTTCTTTTCCCTTATTTGAGCTTCTGCATCTCTTCCTCTAAGACCACAATTCTATTGAATTCCAGTCTGAAATGAAATTGAACTAATATTCATATAATATAATCTACAATATTATTTTCAAGCTGTATTGTATTTTTGGTATGTTGGGTATATATCGATTTTGTATACCAACACCACAAGGTGGTCAGGGTATTATGTCTTTGTGCATTTGTTAGTTACAGGCAAAAGGAAACGAGATAGACCCATAGTTCCTTTTGATGATCTGCATAGAATCACATTCTGAGTCGATTTATGCAAGTCCGTCCGTCTATCCATGTATTTTTGTAAACAAAGTACAGTTCGCATTTATTGCCCGATCCAGATGAAATTCTGTACAAATCATTTGTTTGACCCAAGGAAGAACCTTATTGAAATTGGAGATAATCGATGAAAATTCGGATATAGCTCCATATATATATCTTCGTCCGATTTGGCTTTTATTGTGCAACAAACGTTTAATTATAGCCCAAATTGTATGGTCTGCTAAATTTTTGTCGGAATCGGTTCAGATTTGGATATAGCTCCCAAATATATCTTCGTCCGATTTTCCTTTTATTGTGCACCAAACGTATAATATTAGCCCAAATGGGATGAAATGTTGACACTTACGTCAAATTGGGTGAAAATCGGTTCAGATGTAGCTATAGCTCCCACATAATGTGCATCAGATTTGTTAAATGTGTTCTCCACAGCCGTAATATACACTCCGCAACAACGACATTCAGGGATATATATCAAAGTCCAAAAAAACCTTTGCCAAATTTTACCGAGATCGGTTCAGATTTGGATATAGCTCCCATTAATTTTTATCCGATTTGAAATTAATTGTGCACCAAATGGGTAATTGAAATTCCCCATAAAATCTTTTATTTGTTATGTTAATATGCAAAGTGGTATAGGGTATCATAAAGTCCCACTTTAAGACTTTCTGTACTGATTTGATTTAAAAAATAATAAATAAAAATTATCAAAACTTTGGTTCAAGTAGCCGATGTTGGACATACCCATAGGAGAAAATTTCAAACCCCGGCAAAAGGCCGGCGACACACAGCTTTAAATTTAGACAAACCTTGGCTCGATGTACTGAACAGAATCGGATTATCCGGGTTCAAAGACCCATATATCAGATAAGACCGCATATTATTATATTTTGAAAGGTTGGAGTGTTGGCTATATTTTGATATATATGTTATGGGCCCTTATTCCACTTGTTGGGGGTTTATAAGAAATCAGGTCCAAAAATCTAGACATAACTTCCGATTCGTTTTAAATAAACCCTCCACGAAACCACTTGTTGGATATAATCTTTCAAATGATACCAATGTTGTCCAAATTGGTTTAGTAGAACTGGGTCAAATATCCAGGTATCCGGGTCCGTTCCCCAAGAAAAAAAAATACTTTCCTGAAATCAGGATAAAAATACCTAGAGTTTTTACTAAACTAGAGTTGTTCCCGAAATGCTATATATGTAATTAGTTACATTTAATTATTTGATTGTTTTTTTTTTCAGAAGCCATTTCTGTGGCAATTCAGGCGGACACTTACGTTGGCAGTATAAACCATAAATTTAGTCTGAAGAATTTCATATCAATTAAATACAGACTCCATAGAAATTTGAAGCTGCAGTGAGTATTAATCACAGTAAGGAAAAATGAATACAAGCTCGTATTTCTAAAAAGCCAATATTAAGCGGAATTTGTACAGTGGGGGCTAAGAGGGTATTAAAGAATAAAACAAACATTTGAATAATCAATCGACAACTATAACATGGATATGCTTGGTTGCCTGTTTTTAACACTCAAAAGTCGTCAGACGTAAAGATTTATGTTCTATCAATAAGACAACATAACGTGTTGCTGACCATACAGTTCATTATTTCCTGTTATTTGCCGAGTCATCATCCATATTTTAAATTATCCTTTTTATGAAGAAATGTTGAACTGTTGAAAATCGCCAAACACTTGGTACCTGGGTGGCGTTATTTTCCAAATCTGTTATATTCACTGTATATACCGACAAAAATAAAAACACATCATATATAGAATTCCATTTATTATTATTTTATTTGTAAAAATATCCTTAAAAAATATTTGAACAAATAATTAGGTTAATATAACATAAACAATCAATAGCATTGTGTTGTTCTTAAATTTATATTTATTCATCATTTTGTTTGTAATTATTAATTAAATGTAAAAAAAAAATTCCACTATGTTTATAAACAAAATGTTACAATATACCGAAAAAGAAACAAATCTAAAACTTATCAATTGAAAGAAATCCAGAAATATATGTTAAAGTAATGAAAAGGGATTTGCTAAAGGGCATTATAAGGCCCTAAGAAAATTATTTAAAAACTATTAATTGGTTCTATATCTATTACTTTCTTCCAATTGTTTGTTTGTATTGTTAAAAAATCAAAGATGAACAAACATTTTATTTAGATTCTTAAAAAAATGAACTTAGTGTGATGTTGTTTCCATTTAAACAAAATAAGAGGTAGCATGAATAAAACAAAATATTGTAAACAGCTCGTGAAAAACAAACAAAACTTATTACAAGAATCTATGCTAAGGGCAACTTAAGTGGGAGGGAGAAAGGATTTGTTTGTATGTGTATTTGTATGTGGACTGAGTGTGTGCGTATTTTTGTTTTTTCTAAAACTAATGTAAATGTGTGTGTTTAAATTTTCAATTTTGTTTTCTTTATAACCAAACCAAAAAGCCCCAAACTAACAGGGACACCACCAGGCCAATTTTAATGCCACTCAATAGCGCAAAGATGGCAAAGAATATCAAGAACAATACAACAAATCCGGCATAGTAAAGGAAGTCAAAACTGCAAATGGAAGAAGAAGACAAACAAAATAAATCAAATTATTTTTATTCGATGATATTTAACTTACACTTTCCAATATATCCTATGCCAGGTGGTAGTCTCAGCCGATTCTCTGAAATAGAAACGGCGTATACCAATAATAACTCGTGCCAGAAACTCGGTCCAATCACAGCGACTAGAATCAAAATTATAACGTTTGCGATCCTTTTCATGTACCACGCTCATAATACGCAGGGCATTCTTCAGATCGTAACGGAAATTCTTGTCCAGGAAATAGTCGAAAGCTTTGCCACCTCTGTGGAAGACGCGCATATATTCATAGACACTGTGGTGAAGAGAGGAGTAGAAAGGGTAAGTATATAGAGTATACCAATTTTTTTGGAATATTTAAAATATATTTCAGATATTTGGGTTGGGTAGAAATATTATGAAAACTATTTGGATATCGGCGTTAAAGCTAAATTACAGGATGAGATACAAAAAACTGCAACAAAGTCAAACGCCATAAAATAAGTTTAGATATGTTCAAATCCGTCACCTTTGGCACGAATTATGACCTTCAAACGGCCAATGAAAACGTCACACGCTGCCCGAATGTTGCTCTGCGGTATTTTGGTCCATTCCCGGCGAAGCGCATGCTTGAGGTGATCAACACTTTGGTATTTTTTAGTGCCAACCTTCCTTTCCAAAATACTCCAGACACAATAGTCCAACGGATTGGTATCCGGAGATTTTGGTGGCCATTGTGCGCTGAAAATGAAGCGAGGAACCTCATTTTGTTACCATTCTTGGGTGGCGCGTGCTGAGTGCAATTATCCTGAGTCTTGTTGGAATGTCCAAGGTCTGCGTCCAAAATGTTTGCGTGCCTAAGGCTTTAATACACCCCCAGAATATTTTCGCGGTAATATTCGACATTTATTCTGATGCCACGGTCGATTAATAAGAGCGGAGAGCGCCATGGCCGGCGCTTGAGTTCTAGTGGCCAACCGAAGGTGCACATTTTCAGCTGACCACTTTGGCAGGTAAACACGATCATTTTGTTTGTTTACAAACTGATGGACAACGAATGTTTTCTCATCGGAGAAAACCTAATTCGGCAGTTCACCACTTTCGGCCAAGCGAAGCAACTCTTTAGCTCTTTTGAGTTTAGTTTCTTTCTGTTGTGGTGTAAATTATTGCACTTTTTGGAATTCAATGGCTTTACCCCGAGCTCATTTTTCAGTATTTGCCGAATGGAATATTGCGATATGTTCAGCTCACGAGACATTTTTCGGCCATTGCGCCGCGGGTTTCGATCAAGTCGCTTCTTTACTTTTCGAACCATTTCTGCTGATGTTGCTGTTTTCTTCTGTCCACTTCCTTGACGAGCGATGCTGGAATGCCATTACGATAGCCACTTGTGGTTCTCCAGCCAAATATAAAGAAATCACACTACCACGCTTGAATTCCATCACGAATAACTTTTTTTTTGGAAAATTCTCACCAGAATGCTTTTGTACGCTTGTAAACAATATAATAAGCTGTAACAGGAATAATTTTAACAGTTGTTGGACGAATGGCTTGGAAATGACAGCAGTCTGAAGTTGCTTGCAGTTTTTTCATCTTAGCATGTATTTATACATCGCAGATACTTTATCCATATTAGTTTTTTAGCAATTTCGATAACGTATCTTAGTTCTTTAAATATGAATATACAATATGTATGTTGTTGTAAGAGTTTAGATACTTTATCTACTTTGTTTGGATAAGGTAGTTAATGACCGGATAGTCTCGATTTTCATTCAATAACCCAAATAGTTTAGTTTATTCCCCACATAGCTTTTGTACCATCCCTCCAAAACTTACGTGTGCTGTGGCATGCCAACGGAAAATAGCTTCTCTGGTATGGAATAGACCATAGCGGGCAACATATGGAACAAATAGAAGAATAAATTATAACGCCAGCCATTTCGCAAAATAGCCTTGGGTTTCCAGACAAAACTGTTGGGCGGATGTTTTTGCACATTCGTATTGATAATATCACAGAATTCCGACAGTGTCAGCGGATTGACTTCACCCGATGTGCAATGGATAACTTCGGGCTTTTCAATTTTGCGAGTACCCACATACCAGCCCATGACCAGCGACGAGTTGATGACATAATCACAGGGTATGATGTCAATGACGGCCGAGGCGCGACCCTTCATGGTGCGGAAAATACCCTTAATGAAACCGGCCAAGAAGCCCAAATGGCCGGAGTTGGCATTGCCCACCCAACCGGAACAGGGTTTCTCCCAGGTGCCATAAACTAAAAAGAGAGGGAAAATTAGGAAATTAAAATTTACTCTTCTTCCCATCACACACACATGCACACTTACCAATTGAGGGCCTTACAATGGCCACCGGCATATTTTTCATCTCCGACATGAGCAAATTTTCCGATAGATTTTTCGTAAACGTATATGTATTCGGATGATCATTGGTATATTTGACGGTCTGTTCTTCGGTGAAATTCTCCCACATCGAATCATCTTCGGCCATTTTCATCATTTCATAGGGATCACAACGTGATTTGTAGACTTCTTCTAGGATGAGGCCACGATTGTTACTATTACAGAAGGCCGTCGAACAGTAGATGTAGGCGGAGAGATTCTTCAACCGCTTGGCCAACTCAATGGTACGCATAGTACCAGTCAAATTGGTCTTAATAGCTGTCCTCAAGGGCGAACGGAAACGAATGGTGGCAGCACTGTGATAAATGATATTCACATTTTCAATCAGCTCCTGTAGGATCTCATCATCGAAATTGAAATTCTCTTCGCTCAGTTCACCCACGACGGGCTTGACTTTGGTCAATGTTTTTTCATCGTATTTTTCAAAGATCTGGAAATAGAAAATATTAAAGAATTATTAGAAATTTTGCAACTTTTTTTTTTTTAAATTTCGAAGATTAAAAAAAATCATTAAAAATATATAAAAATGATGAGTTAAAACACGGAACAGATTGAGTTTACACTAAGCTGATGGAAAAATCTGAAATTTTGACTGAAGGTAATGTAATATTCCTTAAAAAAATAGAACAGTGTGGCTTGTTTGTTCGGGATACCGTAGTATTTTGTTGTTGCAAAATGGCCAGGCTTTATCCCTTTATTGTTGTTTTTATAAAAACAACGTTTGTTTATTAGTGGAGAACGATCCTTAAAAAAATTAAAGCAAAATAACTTATGATCCTCGTTACAGTCTTTATGCCGAGTGGGCGCGTCCGATTACAAAACCGAAGGATGGAAGTTCCTTAAATAAAACCTCGTGTACCGAGGCTCAGTGAATGGTGTATTAGACAACAAAAATGAAGAACGCGAGTTCAATACCAGGAGCAAACAAACAAAAAAAATGGATTTTATAAATAAAACAATGTGTTTCTACTAATTTGTAAACTTAGTGACCAAAGTATGACTAAGTAGTTCGTTTGACAATGCCTTCTAAAATAATGAGTTAGTAGATTAAATTATAAGTAGCTAAAAACTGCATATTTAAATTGAGATATAGATGGCGTGGGCCGTACAACAAAATTAGATGACGAATTTCGACGTGAAGATTTCATTTATCTCATTTGATTTTCAGAACTCAACTTCAAAATCCCGCAAAATTATCAGAGAGTTGGATATTGTTATTAGACATTAGAGGTCCTCCCTAAGCAAGCCAATTGTGTGCTAAACCTATAAAAAACAGTACCTCTTTCATGTTTTAATGAATAACGTAGAAAGCTTCCCTGGCATAAACTTATTACCGCCGGTCATCGTTAAACAAACATAGTCCATGGACGACCTGCTCTGTTCTATATGAAAATTTATCTTCTTACTTCTGAGAATGGTAGAATAAGAAGCACTTGTTTCACCCCTCCTTCCACGTGTTTCAAAGAGGTCGCTTAATGCTGCCATTAAAGTACGGGTTAAAGTGTGCCTCGTTTATGTGAAATTAAACGGTCATAATTGCGGCATTTAAAACAGGTTACTTTAGAGTTAATGTTAATATGTTGGATTAATTATTTTTTTTATGAGCTGCTTAATATGAGTACTAACAAAAATGCTAAAGCATACATAATTTCATAACATATTTTTAAATTTTTGTGTGTTAAGACGAACTACACAGTTTTCTTTGGGTATGTTTGTTCTGGGCGTCAATGCAAAGACCTCTAGTCTTCTAGTCTTATAGAAGATGTTATATTTATAGTAAGCCCAAAAAGGACTTTCTATTCCTGTTCTATTCATAGAAGATCTTTAATCTCTAGAAGATCGATAGAGTATTTTAGAGGACAAAGAATTTTTAGAGAATTTAGAGAATTTAAAGAATAGAATTTTTAGAGTCACATCGAAGACCATCTACCTATTGAAGACCTTTTGAATGTCTTCTACTATTGGAAGTCCTATATATAGTACTGCAAGGTACTGCAGTTAGTTCGTCAGCGAAAAGTACAGCAGGCCTTTTTAGTACTCAAATTGCACAATTTGTTAATTTTGGCATTATTTTTAATCAAAAATTCATGCATGGAACTAAATTTCTTTCTAAATTTTCAAAGTTACCTCAATATTAAAATTGAGGATTCCTGCCCTATCCCTTCACCCACTACCAAATTTAGTACCATTTTGTACTTTTCGTACACTTATAGTACACATTTCCAAAATCACCTCTATGTCTGAACCACAAACACTTGCAATGACATCCATATCAAATTTCAAATCTATCCCTACGTCCAATACCAAATTAATTACTATTTAGTACTTTTCGTACAATTATAGTACATATTTCCGAAACCACCTCCATAACTCTTTTCCAGATACGAAAAGAGACTTTCATATCAAATTTGAGTATTCCAATCTTATACCTTTACTCAATACCAAATTTAGTACCATTTAGTACTTTTCGTACAAATCTTAAACGCAGATACTATCAGTAATCTAAATATCAAATTTCAGAATTTTATCTCTATCCAATTAAAATTCCGAGTAGTTTTTTGTCCAGAAACGTAGAATAAAGGAGCCACTCGAGGAATGTCAGTTTGAGGATATACTAGTAAATCACATTTACGAAAGGAATTGAAATTTTCGTATGCTGAATAAAGAAGGTACAATGAAGGTCTAAGCCATGAATAATTCAGCCAAATAATTCAAAAAATTTGAAGTTTTCGTGTTTTTGATAAGTAGAGTATTTCAATACCATATATTCCTTAACGTCAATTTTTGCTCCAACATTCATTAAGGAATAGATAATTTAGAGAATTTTGACAAGGAATTTGGCATTTTGAGTTCTGCTTCTCGAGGATTTTCAAAAGGCTTACAGCGATACAACATTTCCTCCTGTTGAAAATTTGTCATACAGGACTCAGAGAAGCGGTCACAAATGAAAATAATAATTTCGGGGAGATCAAATCACTTATTATACCCTACAACACTATTATAAGTTTGATTGGGCCAAAAAATATGTAACACCTCGAAATATTGGTTTCCCACATAGGAAAGTATATATGGATCTTCCTAGCTCGCCGAGCTGAGTCGATCTAGCTATGTATGTCCGTCCGTCCGTCTGTCCATGTTAATTTGTAATCACTCTACAGGTCGCAATTATGTGCCGATCTTCACGAAATGTAGAATGTAGGTGGGGTTAGTGTCAGAATAGAACCCTATTTCTTTTGAAGATGATCGTCAAATGTTTAGGGGTTGAAATGGACCAAATACTGAAAAAATGTCGGATTTTGCAGTAGCTATACAGGTCGCAATTATAGACCAATCGACGCGAAATTTCGCATGTAGATAGAGTTTAGGGCGGGGAAGAAGCCTCCTAATTTGAGTGGTCATCGGATAATATTTAGCGGGTAAAATATACCACATCTTTTGTGTTGAAAAAAATCAAAATTTTTCATTAAACCGTGAATATTATAAATCCCGGCGAAATCACAAAGTCATTACAAGGTTACTTCTGACCTTTACATTGATGCTATTATCCAACAAATCGGATATATAGCAAAATATGTGCGATATATATGTCTATCAAAGGAGATATGCTTGAAAGATCTCTTATATGTCGAGAACGGCTGAACTGATTTCGACAGTTCTCATTAATTCAGAATGGCCTCTTGGCAGGAAAGAAAAAACGTCTAAAAAAATCGCATAAATATATCTCTCTAAAGATAAAAATATTGATTTTGTAAAATTTTCTCATATTTTTTTCAATTTTGTCACATTTTTGGCATATTTTCATTTCGAATTAAACATTTGGTAATATTTCTACAGCTTACAAAACTAAGTAGTTAGGATATCAGGATATCATATACAGATCTCATTTATGGCCGATCCTTACGAAATTTTGCATGGGGATAAGATCAGACCCTCATCTTATCCCCATGCAAAATTTCGTAAGGATTTCGATAGAAGTCTACTCTTTTTGGAGATGGGCGCCATATATTTAGGGGTTGAAATGGACCAAAAAACTGCAAAATTGTCGGCAGGTCGTAATTATCGCCCGATCCTCACGCACATTTGAATGGTGGTTACCGCACATTGCAAAAGCCAAGCAGTTTTGGATGGCCATCCAAAAATATTCAATGTGTGAAGGAGTTTGCCAACTTTTGTAGACAAAATACGAAAATGTCCATTCCAGTGACTTTTTGGAGAATTGACAAACACAGGAAAGACGCACTTCTGACTATTTCGTTAACGCTGATTTCGTTAGAGAATATAGTCAAATGTCTGTATCTCATATAGATGTGTTTCAGTCAAAAACCAATAATAAATGTTAATCTTTAGCCACTTCTAAGAATTAATAGGTCTTTGGGAAATATTGGTTCCAGATCTAGGAAGACCATTTACGTGCAACATCTACCAATAAAATGGAAATGAGCCAATTAGTTTAAGTTGCTATTATTCGAAAATTAGAGAACGAAACATGAGGGTTTTTTTATTATTTGTCACAATATCTTGTGGAATTCTCGCCTATATAAACTGTATGGTTTATTATAGTGTTGTAGGGTATTCAACGGTCGGCCCCGCTCGACTGTAGTCTTTGCTTACTTGTTTTTTTTTGGAAAAGTGCAAAAGATTTTGTAAACACGTGGCTGAGAAGATAAGACGTGCCTAATACAACGTTTTTTTTTTCATTTGTTTCAACCTCAACCATTAGATCTCATATTTCAGGTTTGTCGCCTAAGTCTTTTGTCTTATCAACTATATTGATTTGAATAAAATAGAATTCCCATATATTATCCGAATATAACCATCTTCTTTGAACCTTAAAGTCAACGAAAGTAAAAGTTTTGAAAAGTTATGAAAAGTATCAACAACATTTCCCATCGCAGCCATATGCCTGCTGTGCCGCATGTGTTATTTACATTTCGTGTTCGTGTCTCAAGTCTTTTGTTTTCTCACGTTTACTGCCGTTTGTGTCGATTACAAATCTTAAGATCTGTTTTAAGCCTTTTTCCACATCAATCGCTAACATGTCTTCAAAAAACCGGGTATCTTTGAAGTTTTTGGCTCCAGTCTTTTGTATTTCAACAAATTAACACAGCTACCTTTAAAGCCCTCAGTCGCATCAAATCTAATATTAAACCATATAATCTTGCTAACCGAAAAGAAAAGCAATTGATGACAATAAAGAAAAACACTGGAGTTGGGAAGATAAAGAAGACCAAAAAAACAGATCACCCAAAATTGATGCAATCAAAATGGGGTGGGTACAAAGATGCTGGGGACTTGGGTAATTTGGTCTTCGGGTAGGAGTGAGTGTGTGTGTGTGTGTTTGTTGTGGTTGTTTTTTATGTTATTATTTTCTCGTTTGTTTGGGTTTCATCTACATTCGCCTTTGTCTAGCTATTATTGTCATTATAAATTTGTTGTCATCTTTGTATTAGATAATTGGGAAATTTAGGCCTCTATTTGCCATGGGAGCTGGGGATGAATGGCTGGGAGTTGTATTTCAAAGTTTAATTTTAATTTTTGTTGTTTTTTTTTTTTTTGGGAGGGGTATTTAAAGTTATCACATAATATCACACGGCATCTTGAAACCATTGCAAAGGCCTAAGCAAAACATGCAAGGTTAATTAATAGACTTTGGGTTGGGCATTTAGTTTGGACAAAAAATAAAAACGACAAAATATAATAAAACTTACCGGTTTTGTTAGTAGCTTCCTAACACGCTGATTGGGATCCCAGTTCTTTTTGCCGCGCACCAACAAATAAATGGTACCTATGTCCGGTGTGGCATCCAGCAAGGCCTCTATCAAGACGGTACCCAAGAAACCCGTACCACCGGTCACAAATATATTTTTATGGGCAAAGAAGTCGGCTATGGTGCCAGCATCGTTGCCATCTTTGGTTATGCTGCTGGGTGATTTCAACTCCAGATTGTGAGTTCTGTCATGATCGGTCATGACAGCCATATTGTAATTTATGTTTGTTGGTGGAGCCAATTTGATGATTTGCCAACTAAAACGGTTTCTAGCTGCAAAAAAATAAAGACAAACGACAAAAAACCAAAATTAATATCTCATTTTATTTACTTCCGTCTTCAGCAACCTTAAAACAAATTATTAACAAAATATGATTTTAATTTTTATTTCCTTGGCAGTTTTGAGCTTTGGTTTCCAAAGACCATAGCCAAATCTATTAAAACTTCGTGTTTTTTTGTTTTTCTTTCAATTCTATTGTGTGTGTGTGTGGTGGTGGTTTTTGTTTTCTTTTTGGCTGCGAGATGACCTTCTCACAGCTAATCATTGCTAATTTGTTAACAAACAAATTCGTCTGCCATAAATAAATTTGTTGATTTGTTTGTTTGTTGTTGTTTCTTTTACAAATTCCTTAACAAGCTGATTTTCGTGTGCTTTTGTTTTCATTTTATGGTTTGACGGCTGCCTGACTTCACTCAAAACCAGAAAAAATGCAAGTCATGTGGAAATAAATAAAAGATAATTCTATGGCACATATTGTTTTCAAATTGTTGGATTGTGTCAGAAAATGTATCAGTTCTAGAAATGATTTACAAAATTAAAATCGAGAATTGTCTTAAGACCAATGGGCTAGCAACAATATTAAGACTGGTTTTAGTTTAGAAATCACCTTGAAGCTTTATTTTGTGGTGGAAGAATAGTTCAAGAGACTTCCTTAAGTCATGAGAATAAATAGTTTGTTATGGGATAACCTGTGGTCATCAAGAGGCTTGGAAAGTTTTTCAAATGATAAAATTCGAGTGATTTCATTAAACTATTTTTCAAGTTTGTGTCATAAGTTTTTCGTTTTTTTAGTTTCTACCATTAGAGCGGTAATTTATTTTTCCAACCCTTTTGGAACAACCACAAATATTTACCAGAAACTCAAAAACCAAGATATTTTTAATTTTTAAAAATTTGAATGTTTATACGGCATGTATTTGTTTCGATAATTGACCGATATCTTCTATATATATAAGAGTAATGAAATTACTGACAGATTGATTTACTGAAAATCAACGTCCAGATGAAACGGCTGAAGGTAGAATCTTGAAAATTTATACAAAAGGCAGTCTTGGGGCGTAGGCGTGTGATATGATGATGAGTTTTTTGGAAATTCGTACCAAAAGAGCTCGAAAAGTACTAAAATGTACTGAATATGAATACTTGGTATTGGACAAACGGAATGAGCTAGAATATTGGAAAATTTGGAATGGAATGAGAGGTACTATTGGAGTGCAGGATAGATGTACCAAAGGGTTTTTATAAATTCGAACTTCAAGATTACGAAAAGCTACTTAAATGGTTCCATTAGATATTATGTTAACTGATACAGCTAAAAAAAGGATTTTTAGCCTTAGAACCAAGGGTGGAAAGTAAATCTGATATATAAAGGGAGTTTTGGAAATATGTACGAACTGTACTAAGTTGTGCTAAATGTGGAACCGTTTGGCTTAGGGTGAATGGATAAGGCTGGAATTTTGAAATTTTGTATTGGGATCTCTGTTGGTGGTAGGTTTCAATAAAAAGGCAGTTTTGGACATTTGTACTAGGAGTGCACGAAAAGTACTAAATAGTAATATATTTGGTACAATTTGATATTGGGTAAAAAGATAGTGCTTGAAATCTGAAATTTGGTATTAGGGTAGATTTTCATGAGTAACCTGGACATATGCACGTACGATAATTGTACGAAAAGTGCTGAACGGTACTGTATTTGGTATTGATTGAATGTATAGAGATAAAATCCTGAAATTTGATATTTAGATTACTGATACTGGTATCTATGTATGACATATGGCGGAATGCGTCCTATATTTGCACGAAACGTACTAAATGGTACTTAATTGGGTAGTGGGTGAAGGGATAGGGTTGGAATCCTAAAATTTTGTATTGAGATCTCAGTTGGTATCTGTAATTGAGATATCATGGTGATTTTGGAAATGTATACTATTTTGGTTCGAAAAGTACTAAATTGCACCAATTTTCGATCACTGTCGGTGCCTAGGATGGAGAAATGTCGATTGTTTTGGATATGCGTACTAAATGTTACTAAATGTGATATTTTAAATTCTGAATTTTGTTATTGAGGTCTCTGTTGGTATCTGCTGTTACAAATGCGTACTATACTTGTTCCAAAAATTCTACATTGAACTTAATTTTTTAATGGGTGAAGGGATAGAGCTGGAACCGTAAAATGTTTTATTGCGATAACTATTGGTGTCTGTGGTTAAGAGAAAGAACTGGTTTTGGATATGCGTACTATAATAGAATATGCGTACTATAATTGAATTGAAAGAGCTGAAGTTCTGAAATTGCATGTTAAGGTCACTGTTGGTATCTGAGGTTAAGATTTGGCGATGATTACAAAATTTGTGAGAAAAGTACTAGATTGTCTTAATTTTTGTATTGGGTGAAAAGATTGGGTTGGAACCGTAAAATTTAACATTACGACAACTGTTGGTGTCGAGAAATGAGATATGAAACGGTTTTGCAAATGAGTACTATAATTATGAAAAAACGTACTAAATGTTATTAAAATTGATATTGATATATATGTATATATATGGAGGTGGTCTTGGGAAAGTGTACCATAATTGTACGAAAAGTACTAAATGATACTAATTTTGGATCGCTGTTGGTGTCTAGGATGGAGAGATGTTTTTTGGATATAAGTACTAAATGTAACAAAATTTGGTATTGGGTGAAGGGATAGAGCTGAAATTCTGAAATATGATATTGAGGTCATTGCTTTTGGATGAAAAACTGATTTGTGTGTGCATTATGCAATGGTTTTACTAATATCCTCCTCGGTAAACTTCATAGTGAAAGATTTTAATGACTTTTTGGGTTTAAAATGTATATATGTTCCTGGTATTCTTTTCGAAAAAGGAAAAACTTGTATGACATATATAACCTTGAAAGTCTGAAAATTTAGTACGATGATACATTTTTTTTTGTCAAACTGTGCACTTTGAGTATTAAAAAGGCCGTACATGGACTGTTGGAACAAATCAAAAAAAAAAAAATCTCTGACGAAGTAGCGGTCAATTGCTAGTAAAGTTAGTTGTTGTTTTCAAAATTAGACACTTTTTTGGGAAGGTGCTACAAGTGGTCCGATATTTTCCCATTACACCTTGTATTGTCTGAAACATTGATGTGTGGGAAGATTGAAGAAAATAGGGTATTAGTTTCATATTTTTGAGAGGAATTTTTCAAAGTCTTGACCCTTCAATGATAGCTCATGGTCATAGAAATATTGAAATGGGCGAATTTGAATTACTTTAAGCCGATGAATTGCTTAGCTTTTTTTAAGAGAGTTATGACTCCCCCATTGTGCGGAAAGTACAAGAATATTTGGTCCTTCCATTTTCATGTCTGATCTAAATCTGTCATATATATAATACGATATATGAAGTTTCAGACATATTGGATGTTTCCTTCGCTTTCAACACAATATGGGATTTGTTTCGACATTTTTCAAATTTTGTACCCATCTTCGAATTCGATCAAAGTTTGGTAAAAATGTAATCATAAACCAAGTGTGGACCAAATCGGATACTCCCTCGCACTAAGCGGATGGATTATTTAAAGAACGGCCGCGGTCAAAATTTGCTTGAAATAATCTTCAAACATTAAATTATGTAGACCTTGATAGTACGGTTTATATAATTCAAAAAAAGTATGCATTTTTCATATGCATATTTTTTCTGAAAAAACTTTCCTATAACTCTTAAAAAACATCCATTACAAAAAAGGACTCTTGGCTTTAAAATTAACAACGTTTGAAATGTTTATAAAATTTGTAGGAATTGGTGAGATAATAACGGCTGAACTGTTATACGCAATTTATTTCAACAGATATTTTATTAAACGCAGCTCCGATGCAGTGCATGAAGAAAATATTTCGCTATGGATTTACTAGTGTAAATGTTTCATAACATCGCAAAATATTTGATTAATGATTTAACATACGCGAGACGTAATATCATCGTTAATTTAAAAGAGTTTTGTTTTTAAATCGATGCATAGTTCGCATTAGGTGATTGTTGTCTTTGCTGCTCATGTGGATTTCAAAAAACAAAAAAAAATCTTTACAACACTTCCTTATTGATAGTAACGGAAAATTACTTCGTATTTGTAAAATATTTTCAAGTGGAATTTTTATTTAATTTTTTTTCTATAGAATTTTGTGAAAATAATGACCACTTCAAGTTCGTGTCTTAAGTCTTTTGTTTTGGAATTTCTTGTTCTGTTGGGCAATTAATATTGAAATGGGCAAATGAATACTATTAAAAGTTCTATGGAAATTTTGTTATTTGCGAACATGGATCAATGTCAGTTGGGTAGGCTGCAAAAACCCGTTTAGCCGAGCATAAATTACCATGTTTAATCATGCTAAACAAAATAGTTCAACAAAGCGATAGAATACTTATATTAATAGAAATTAATGTGAATTTTAATATTTCCGTAATCCAATCTATATCTGCATAGCATTTTGTTTTAATAGTACCAATTCTAATTAGCATTAATTTTCCCAAGTCTTTCGTTTTCATATTTTCGTATATATGTATTTTCCTAAACTCCATTGACAATCGGCAAATACAGAATAGAGAAACATTTGTTAGAAATATGTCCCATTTGAGAATATACCAAGATTACCATCAGCATCCATACAATTCCCATATTATTCTCGGAAAACACCTCAAACAATTAACACCAAAACCACTTCAAACTGAACCTATCATCAAAATCTATTCTCTCTAATCTCTCTAATCTCTCATGTTTCTGTGTGTTTGCATTGAGCAAAAAATAATTGACAACAAAGCAAAACTAATTGAATTAACATCCCACCAAATATAATTATCGTCAAAGTTGAAACAAGTTAAATTGAACTTAAGGAAATTCCCTACTGAAAACTTGAGCCTAAATTGATCAGAAATTGGGACTTACGTTACATGTTAGGCGAAGATAAAAACTCAATTTATATTTGAAAGTTTCACTTGCTTTGCTTTCATTCAAAATTTGAAATCATTTGACTGAAGTGAATTGGTGTCAAGGTCATTTTTTTGTTTAAAATTAAAGCTCTATGAATATGGAAGAGTTCGAGATATAAAAAAGTGTTCGAATATATGAATAAAAGGGAGAAATAGAAAGAAATGTGTGTCAAACGATCGTTTATTGCAAAAAATATTCATAATCGGAAATTATGCAAAATTAATGTTAGAGTACAATCGGATTCGTATAGGAGGGGAGGGAGAGAGCAAAAATTACTTCTTCTATTCATAGAAATGTTGGAAAAGTTATTCCATCCAAGTCTTTAGTCTCTATATCTACTTCTTCCTGTACTATACTGTACTGATTTGATAAATGTGATAATTACTGGAAATTGTTCAAATGTTCACGATGTGCCAGATACAGTGGACCGAATGCTGATAAAAATATTAGGATGTGCAACATTTGAAGAAAATCTAACACTTTTTTTATGATTCTATGGGAATAGTTGTCAGTCAAAAGTCTAACCAGAAGAAGTTGATCGAAATATTTATTCGATCTACGGATAACAAAAATATTGAGACAAACAAAATTTGATGAAAATAGCTATGTTATTTCGCATATTATAAGAGATCTAATTATTCAAAATTTTGACCTTTTGTAGGGAAGGTACCAAAAGGAGTGAACCGATATATTCCATCTTCACTGTAAATCTTGTTTTAGTGGAAATATTGGAATGTATGAAGCTTAAAAAGAATTGGATTCTCTATTCGCATTTAAGATATGTTTTGTTATTCAAAATGTTAACCGTTTATGAGGGAGGTACCACAAGGGGTGGACCAATATATTTCATCTTCACATCTGTTGTGTTAATAAAAATATTGAGATGTGTGAGATTTGAAGAGTATCGTATGTTTATTTCGCATTTTATGAGACATGCAATTATTCAAAATTTTGAGCGGTTGTGGGAGAGGTACCGAAACTAGTGGTCTGGCATATTTCATTTTTACACCAAATCTTGTATTAAAAAAATATAGAGATGTGTGAAATTTAAAGAAAATCAGATGCTTATTTCGAGTTTTATAGAAGTTGCAATTATTCAAAATGTTAAACCTTTGTGTGGAAGGTACATGATGGATTGGGTAGATATTGATAATTTTCACACCTGACATAGAACTGATACAAATATTGGGACTTGCAAAAAAAGTTCTATACGGAATATTATTTTATTTTAAACTTTTGACCTTTTGTGGGGAAGGTGCCAGAAGGAGTGGACCGCTATTGTTCATCTCCGAATTCGATCTAAGTTTGACAATGATATTACGAAGTACCGGATACTCCCCTCGAGTAAATCGAAAGATGTCGTGCACATATGGACGGTCGGACGGATACCCCTAGATCGACTCCAAATGTCCTAGAACGGATTTGGTTATTTCGATAAGGCACCTTTGGCCGTCTCAAATGATATATACCCTCTCTAGCCATATGACTGAGGGGTTTCTTTCGACTGTTCTGATAGTCGGATTTTAAATTAGTCACGGGTACAACAAGTACAAAAAGGTACCAGATAAGGTAATATCACGTGATCAAAGATTCAGCGAATACAAAAAAATGAAAAATATTTTTGAAATTCGCACTGAAATTCGGAAGCTAGGGGTATTCAAAAGTTCGTTAAGTGCGTTCAAATTCTGTAAAAAATTAAAAATTTACCAAAAATTAGGATTTTTTCGGGAACGGAAAGAGTTTCTGACTATAAAAAAGGTACAATTGAATTCGAAAATAGCACCCTTGATAGGCTTAAAATTCAAAAATATTTTTAGTGCGTATTTTTGTACCGAAAATTATATTCATAAAAATACAAACGATAGTCATAATAGAAGTGAAGGAAGTGTCATGAAAATAGCAACTAGCACAGAGAGAGGGAGAGTCAGTGAGACATCTCTAAAATTACGTAAAATTACGCAGGTAAGTGTGAGGTATCAAAAGTAATACAGATCAATACAAGACCTCAGAGGTCGTTGATGACAGCCCTAATACACTTTTATTTCTTTCTTCCTGTATACATTACACCCATCATAAAATCATTAACTGTTTAATTATCTCTCATCAAGAGAGAGTCATTCTCTTCCTTTCTCCCGTGCATCACTAAACTTTATTATTCTCTCACTCGCTCCTACATTAACTCCAACTTTGTTTTATAGACAATTTTTCTAGAGGTCTTTTTAAGATTTAAGTATCTCTGAGCCACGAAAGATTTTCGATAGATTTTAAAGGCTTTAATATAAGGCCTTCTATCTATAATGGACCTTATATATATTTTTTTTGGATTGTGAAAAGTATTTATGTGATTTTGAATTTGTGAACTTAAGGTTTCTCAAATACTTACATATAAATTATGTTTTAACGAATTTCTGAAATTAAGAAAAACAATAGAAATTAATTAAAAAAAAATGTCCTTGAATAGATTATAATGTTAATGCAATTTTTATAAGTTAAACACCTTTACAATTTATAGTAAAAACCAATTGAAAATAAATCAAAAATTAAATAAATTCATTGGGTCATTAGGTTTAATGTTCACTCATTACAGTCTCTAACCGTTAAAAATGATAACTGTCGATAGTTTTTTTTTTAAGTTTACCGTCCCAACGACCTGGTGTACACATGACTGACCCTGAACTTCAGTCTTCAAAAGAAATATCAAAAAAAATCTGAATATTATTTTTAACTTCTGTTACTAACCCCCAAAAACGGAAACAAGTGTCCACCAAAGTCGTTGCTAGGTCTGTGACATTGACTTACTGCCAAAACAAGACGTAGCCGTTCTCAACACCTCAAACTGGTCACAGTATGAAATAAACTTATGCTTTGGTTTAAACCAGACCTATAGCTAACCTCCGTAGAGGTTAGCGCGACTGCTTGCCATTTCAAAGTCAATAACACGCTACTAATTTTGTTGATAAATTTAAAGCAGCAGCAGCAAAAAAAAAATCAAATTCAATGGTTTTGAGCAAAAACCCAAACACTTGTTTTTTTTTGGTACGACGTCAAATCAAGAATGTTTTTGAAATTAAGAGACAAAAAACTTCTAAAGAAATAATTGCGCTTTGAGAAATATTTTTGTATACTATTTATTATTTGAGTTCTTTTGTTTTAATTTGAAATTTGGGTTTTGTAAATATCTAATAAATCAATAGCCATTTCACATTTAATTAATATTTATTCAGCTGTATTGAATATCGATCGATTAATACTTATAATAAAAAGAAAAAAATATAAGTTATTGATCTAAACCGCTGGAGAATAGAATTACTAGAATATTTGTTTTCTTTCAAGGGTATTCTATACATAGAAAGCAGCTATACGCTATATTTAACACTCTACACACTGACATCTAAATTAAGCGATTTATGAAGATTCGGCATGTATTTGACGTATAATCAAAGGAATTGACAATCTATATAACGCAAAAACATATTTAAATAGAGATTTTGATAAAAAAAAACCCTGAAAAATGACAATGTTAAAATTGAAATACAGATGACGCCATGCACGCAATCTTTTGTGTGAAGGGGAGACAAAACAACAATATGACATGACACTGATTGCCGCACAGACTCTTTTTCATCGATAACACCTTAAATGAAAAGGCATATAACGAGTCCATTCCGATTCGCTCTTCAGGCCTTTAAAAATATATAAAGGAATTTTCTCTGCTGTTCGTTTGAATAGTACCAATTTAGACCTTTGAATATTCTTTAAATACACTTCATTGAAATATTATTGCTATCTGCTCCAGATCCATAGATCCAGAGAAGATAAATTGTTTTTTCCGTTGTGAAAGGCTTAGAGAAGGTACATTTTCTCTGCAAATACTGAGCACTTTTAGATATGCTATTGTTGAAGAACTACTACTACAGATGGAAGAACTGAATTTTGTAGTCTAAACGTGTTCTTAAGAGTACATTTACGTAAAACTGGTAGATGATTACATTATAATTTAAATATTTTCCATATTTTCGATGCTGCGTAATGCCGATAAAATGTATTTATCTATGGAAGACCTAGTGTTTATACAACATTTTTCAAGTTTGGAATGGCATGCGGAGGGTCTCTGCAATATAGACGTTTTCTAAGGATAGAAGTATCTTTAGAGACCTTTCATATATAAGCAATATTTAATTGGTGTGTTATTAATTACATATCTTTAATAGATGAAAGATCGAAATGTCTTCTAGAAAATAGTTTTAAACGTTTTCATTCAGATGGCAACTTCACTATGCGGCGAAAGTTTTCACTTTATCCGCAAAACATTAATAATTTATAAAAGCAAAATTGAAATGTAGATGGCGTGCATTCATCTGTGGAAGACTTATAAAACGCTTTGATCTATAAAACAAGTAAGCAAAGGCTACAGTAGAGCGGGGCCGACCGTTGAATACCCTACAACACTATAATAAACGATACAGTTTATAAAGGCGAGATACTCGAAAGAATTCCACAAGATATTGTGACAAATAATAAAAGAAAACCATCAGGTTTCGTTCTCTAATTTTCGAATAATAGCAACTTTAACTAATTTGCTCATTTCCAATTTATTGGAAGATGTTGCACGTAAATGGTCTTCCTAGATCTGGAACTAATATTTCCCAAAGACCTATAATCTCTCAGAAGTGGCAAAAGATTAACATTTATTAACATTGGTTTTGACTGAAACGCATCTATATGAGATACAGACATTTGACTATATTCTTCAACGAAATCAGCGTTAACGAAATAGTCAGAAGTGCGTCTTTCCTGTATTTGTGAATTCTCCAAAAAGTCACTCGAATGAACATTTTCGTATTTTGTCTATAATAGTTTGCAAACATTGAATAGTTTGGATGGCCATCCAAAACTGCTTGGCTTTTGCAATGTCCGGTAACCCCCATTCAAATGTGCGTGAGGATCGGGCGATAATTACGACCTGCTGACAATTTTTCACTTTTTGGTCCATTTCAACCCCTAAATATATGGCGATCATCTCCAAAAAGAGTAGGCTTCTATTCTGGCCCTCATCTTATCCCCATGCAAAATTTCGTAAGGATCGGGCCATAAATGCGATATATATATGATATCCTGATATCCTAACTACTTAGTTTTGTTAGCTGTAGAAATATTACCAAATGTTTAATTCAAAATGAAAATATGCCAAAAATATGACAAAATGGAAAAAATATGAGAAAATATTACAAAATCAATATTTTCATCTTTAGAGAGATATTTTTATGCAATTTTTTAGACGTTTTTTCTTTCCTGCCAAGAGACCATTCTGAATTAATGAGAACTGTCGAAATCAGTTCAGCCGTTCTCGACATATAAGAGATCTTTCAAGCATATCTTCTTTGATAGACATATATATCGCACATATTTTGCTATATATCCGATTTGTTGGATGTTAACATCAATGTAAAGATCAGAAGTAACCTTGTCATGGCTTCGTGATTTCGCCGGGATTTAAAATATTCGCGATTTAATGAAAAATGTTGAATTTTTTCAACAAAAAAGATATGGTCTATTTTACCCGCTAAATGTTATCCGATGACCACCCAAATTGGTAGGTTTCTTCCCTGTCCTAAACTCTAGCTACATGCGAAATTGCGCGTCGATTGGTCTATAATTGCGACCTGTATAGCTACTGCAAAATCCGACATTTTTTCAGTATTTGGTCCATTTCAACCCCTAAACATTTGGCGATCATCTCCAAAAAATAGGCTTCTATTTTGACCCTAACCAAACCTTCGTGCAAAATTTCGTAAGGATCGGACCATAATTGCGACCTGTAGCGTGATTACAAATTAACATGGACAGACGGACGAACGGACATACATAGCTAGATCGACTCAGCTCGGCGAGCTAGGAAGATCCATATATACTTTCCTATATGGGAAACCAATATTTGAAGGTGTTACATAAATTCTGGCCCAATCAAACTTATAATACCCCCAACACATAGTGTTGTAGGGTATAACTATAGAAAAATATTTCGAAACGTCGGGAATAAAATACAAAATAAAATAATTTTGTTTTAATTTGTATATGAAACCTAAGGTCAAGAAGCTAAAACACACAAACCATTTCTAGAAATGTTTTCTACTATTGAATGAATATTTCCGTCTACTCTTTACGGAATTTCAGTAGATGGAAGATGTCTGGATTTTGTGTTAAAAACAGTCAATTAAAAGTTAGCATTCCACTGAGGTGTAAAAAGCGTATGTTCAAAACCAGAAAAAATACTAGTAAATGACATCAATCCTCATAGTTAATCATGTACATTTTCAATATTCTAGCATTACCGGTCAACCATCACTTGATGCATTATCGTGCTCCTTGGACACATACCGGGAACAGGAACCTACTATCAAACGCTAACAATAACGAATTTGTGGCCGGTTAGTACATTTTAGTTATGGTTTTTAATATTACTGCCGGCTGTTACTGCTACTGAATAACAATATTTAAATATAGATGGCGTTCTTATTAAATGCTTGGTATGTTTATTATCTACGGGATATTTCTGAACGCCTCTTTTTCTCTACAATCAATGTTCACATTATAGCCTTAGTCGAATCGAGAACTAATGATATGTCACATATCACTCAATTGCTTTATGTAGCCTAAAAGAATTGAAATGTAGATGTCGCTCGCTAAATTTGATAATATCCTCTTTACGATCGATCTGCAAGCTCGGGTTTTCTAGTACTTGTTTATATATTGCATTGCATCAGTTGTCCAATCTGCGAATTGATTATCGGTGGCAAATCTCTAATCCTGATCTTTTTATTGTTGCCTTATAGTGGGCTACAAAATAAATCATACAAAGGTAATGTTCGCGATAGTAAAAAATACACTCTTAAGTTTTTAAAACTAGTTTGTAAAGGGCAATTTTGTAGCTATTATATATTTGGCAACACTGGTTTAAACAGCTTACGCACGTTTCGTGTTTTATTTCACTGTCAACCTTATTCTGTTTGGTCTATAATTTAGCTATGGATCGTCTTAAAAAAGGAACAGTGCTTGTAAACATGCTCTGTTAGGAAAGTTCATGTTCAAGTTCAATGGTGTATACAGGGTGAGATGAAAAAACTGCAACCAATTTCAGACTGCTGTCATTTCTAAACCACTCGTCTGACAGCTGTTAAAATTGTTCCAGTGACAGCTCATTATATTGTTAACAAGCGTACAAAATCATTTTGGTGAGAATTTTTCAGAAAAAAAGTTTATATTTGGCTGCAAAACCACAAGTGGCTACCGTTAGAGCACTCCAGCATTTAAATGTGAATAAATCTTCAAGAAAGTGTACGGAAGAAGTCAGCAACATCAGCAGAAATGGTTTGAAAAGTAAAGAAGCGACTTGATCGAAACCTGCGTC